ATTCATATTGAAAACTGATACAGGAAAAGTCTCCGAAGTGGGGCATGGGAGGAGTCACAGCTGGGAGATACCAAAGCTGGGAGGGTTCATAGGCCCTGAGTCCCCCCCCCCCTGAGTATCCAGCACTCTCTGGAGGACTCTCCTCCCAAAATACGCCTCTGCGGAGGCGAAGGCGTCCAGTCTATAGTGTCTGATGAATGAAGGGGGCAAAGCTGTGACTCCTCCCATGCCCCACTTCGGAGACTTTTCCTGTATCAGTTTTCAATATGAATGGAGGACATGACATCATGCCATATTATAGCTCTTTGGAAATAGTCAAATAGCACTTTCCAACTAAGAGGAGGGTATTGCTGTGGAAATAATGTAACATTCCAACCTTGCTGATTGGAGGAAACCTAATAGCTGGAGTAATGGGGAGTTGGCAAAAGCAAAAGTTTTTAATTCAGAGGAAAAAACACAGCAAGACCTAACTGTAAGTCCAAACAGGTTCAACTGAACTATATTCACTAATAATTGCTATTAAGAGGTACTATGTATTCAGGCTACATTTTACAGTCTTTTAAAAAAAAATCTAAATTCAAATGAGCTGAAACACTTGAAGCTGCTTAAGCACAGTTCAGAGTACATAATTACCCAGAAAAAGACATGAAAAGTAGATTTCTAAATGGAAGTTCTGACTGTGATTTGTGGGGATTTTCAGTAGAGGTTGAGCTTAGCAAGTGGACTTAGGTATGACACTGTTTGGTAAAAATGGAAATAACCAGTATTTAGAATTTATCATTTTGGTAGCCGTTTCCCATGAGTTCCCCTTGCTTGATATCAGATACTGATTCCAATCTCTGGACAATAAGGATGTGATTCCAATGACCACTGAAATAGCTTAAAATTGATTGAGTAAAAATAACTGGGATAGAACCAGGTGGAATTGGCAGGTGCTTTTTCCAAAGATAACAATAAAGGCAAACAGCTCATTCTCAGAAAGGAACATAAAAATAGGGCAAAAAAAGAAGCTCAGGATTATATGTTAGAGTAGAGTACTGGGTACGAACTACATGGAATGATTCAGGAAACTAAAGAAATCCTGGATGTCTGAGATTTTGTTTGTGTGTGTGTGTGTGTGTGTGAGAGAGAGAGAGATCCCTTGAGCTTTGTACTTAGAAGTCACAGGGATTCTGGAAGACTCTTCGAAAAACACCTCTTATAAGATGATAGTGGCAGGCTAACTGCATTCTGATTGATTGAGCATGGAATTTATATTTTGCAGGGAAAGATCATGTTTGCAGATTTATTGGCTGTGGGAGGAATGAGAAGTTTAACTATGTTGTTATGCAACTACAGGTAAGCTTTTCTGCTTTTTTTTTTTAAAAAAAACTTCATAATTGTATTTACCATATCCTCAGTGATGATATGGAATCTTATCCGGATGATCAGTTTTTACAGGCAAGCCAAACATGTGGAAAGTTTTTTTCTCTTTTGCAATACCATGGAGATGGAAAAGGATTAGCAAGGAGGAGTTGAAAGGAATCACCTTCTCTTTCCCTTGGGTCACCTGAAAGTCTCAGAAGGCTCTACTAATGCGGACATTTGCCTCTGAAAATAAGGCAGGATGGCTGTTTTTACAAGGATCCAGAGGATGTGGGGAGAGGACTATTTGACTACTCTCCTATCACTTCTTTTGTTTTTCCACAATAATCTTACAGTTCCTTCCATTTCTCCTGCCTCACAATAGATTAATAAAGTTGGAAATGACCATATGGATCATCTAGTTCATCCCTGTGTTCAATGGAGGACTGACTACAGCTTCCTTGACAAATGACTATACAACCTCTGTTGAAGACCTCTAGTGGTTGATTGACAGCTTATATAGTCAGGAACGTCTTCCTGATGTCTAGCCTGAATCGTTATTTTTGTAATTTTCATTAATTGGTTCTGGGGCAATAGATGAAAAAGGACGTTGGTCTTACCTGAACGTCTATTTTCAGAAGGGGGAGGGAATGGTCACACGTGGGTTGTTGTCAAAGCCTGATTGGTCCAAAGACTGAGAGAAAACGCTTAAATACTGGTGCCTTCCAGTCCTATCCCAGTTTCCTCGAAGGCGAACGGTAGAACTGAAACGACAAAAAACAAACACACAACAAAACCTCCGGGAACCACTCGGGCCCTCCCCTTGGCCCCGACAGAAAGGTCTCTGGGCGGGTTGTGACCATTCCCTCCCCCTTCTGAAAATAGACGTTCAGGTAAGACCAACGTCCTTTTTTCAGAAGAGGGGGAGGGAATGGTCACACGTGGGTTGTTGTCAAAGCCTGATTGGTCCAAAGACTGAGAGAAAACGCTTAAATACTGGTGCCTTCCAGTCCTATCCCAGTTTCCTCGAAGGCGAACGGTAGAACTGAAACGACAAAAAAACAAACACACAACAAAACCTCCGGGAACCACTCGGGCCCTCCCCTTGGCCCCGACAGAAAGGTCTCAGGGCGGGTTGTGACCATTCCCTCCCCCTTCTGAAAATAGACGTTCAGGTAAGACCAACGTC